ATCGGTCAAGTGTATCACAACATGGGTGACTACTCGAAAGCACTTGAATATTTCAAAAAGTCACAAAAAATTTTCGTGGAAACTCTGCCTGCGAATCACTCTAATTTGGGTTATCCATACAACTGGTTTGGGAAAATTTATCGCAATATGAAAGATTATCCAAAAGCACTTGAGAATTTCGAAAAATGTCTCTCAATATGGCAAAAAGCCTTACCTGAAAATCATCCGGATATAGCTTTTGCATTTAGTAATATTGGTGATGTTCATCGATTAATGGGTAATTATGAAAAGGCACTTGCATTTCATCAAAAAGCATTAAATATTCAAGAGAATGTTCAATGTGATCCTACGGACTGTGCAACGACATATATAAATTTAGGTGAAACTTATTGTGAAATGAAAGATTATTCAAAAGCATTGACATATTTCGAAAAAGGATTAGAAATACGTGAAAAGAAATTACCAAAAAATCATCCTGATTTAGCTGTTGTATATCATAATATGGCAAAATTATATTTGGCTACACGAAAATATAGTATGGCAATGAAAAATATTCAACAAACAGTTGAAATAGCTCAAGAAAAATTATCTTCAACTCATCCTCATCTTTTGGAATATAAAGAAACATTTGAAAAAGTTCGAATGAAAATGTAATTCATTATTTTGTTTTTGGTTTACTTGCTCAATAAATTGGTTTTGATTCCTTTTCACTTCCCGACTTTTCTAGGCTCATTTTCGCGCGTACACGCGCGCGCGGCCAGGGAGAGGCCCTATAGGTATGAAACGGGTACACACAGAGCGGACCACGCCGGACTGGTAGGGCAATGTACATAGATGTACGGTACATAATGACGGCAGGGACCCACGTACATTAAAGGCCTTCCCGAGCACTACACTGCTTTCGCCATTCCATGACGAATAGAATCTCTCTCTGGATCAGATTACGAAGCCACCTGACAAGGCTGTGATATAAATTGGTATCTATCTTCTAACATAAATAACATAGACTTAACATAATAATAATAGTATACACTAAATGTGTACAACGACGAAGAAAAAAATTATTTCATCCGAAATAAATCATCTATATCCCATTCTAACATTATCTCAATGTAAGTATTATTATGAAAATTTAATTGAGAACTGTTCTTCCAAGAAAATTTTAAATAAAATTTTTTTTTTAATCTTTCTACTATTTATTTATTTGTTCAAGTCTTTCTCAAGATAAATAAGATAATTTTTGAAGCAACATACCCAATCTTGTTATTGGTATAAATCAATAATAAATCATATTCTTTTTTAACATTCTCATGTTTTTTATAATTTCATATAATTCATAAAAACAAACAGATGAATTCTAAAAACATCATAGAATAAATTTCTATCATAAATCAATATATCCTAACATATATTATCATTGTAATCAAAAACATTGTAAAAAAATATGAATCATAATATAACATCATTGGATGAATGAATGAATGAATTTCATTATAAATTAATGCATTGTAAAGCAATGAATTTAAATAACATCATTCAATAAATTTCATTCTAAAATAATACATTTTAATATAATGATTCAATAAACATCATTGTAAGTTAATACATTTTGATGCATCATAAACTGGTAAATTTCATTGTAATATAATGCATCTTTATATAATATCATTCAATAAATATCACTGTAAGTAATGATTTTAACAACATATAATAAATTTCATTGTAAATGAATATATTTTTATATAATATCGTTCAATAAATATTATGGTAAATTCATGCATTTTAACATAATATTATACAATAAATTTCATTGTAATTTAATACAATATAATGCATCATAAACTTACATATTTCATTTTAAAATAATGCATCTTAATATAAGATCATTCAATAAATATCGTTGCAAGTAATAAATTTAACAACATATAATAAATTTCATTGTAAATTAATACATCTTAATATAATATGATTCAATGAATATCATTGTAAATTAATGAATTTTAACATAACATTATACAATAAGTTTCATTGTAAATCAAAACATTTTAATCCATTATGAAATTGATAAAATTTCATTGTAATATAATGCATTTATTGAATTGTACAGAAATGAATTTTAATAACACCCACCCCTAGATTTCGTTCTAAAAAAAATGCATCATTATATAATATCGATCAATAAATATCATCGAAAATTAATGTATTTTAATTCTTTGCGTCCCAAATTATTTCTACTGGACACTGACACGTCCAGATAAAAATCAGCATGCTCGCATACGGATTCACGTGCGCACACATACACATCATATCTACAAACTCGACGCCCACCACATCCACACTGTTGAACATTTTTTATTGCTACATTTCAGTAAAGTATATAACAATTATTAAACATGTATAGATTTCTTTTTCCTACTATAGAATTCAAAGGTTTAACATAACATTATGTAACAAATTTCATTATAAATGTACACATTTTCATACATTATAAACTCATACGTAGCATTGTAAATATATTTCATTTATAATATTGTAAATTATTATAAATTGATAACTGTATGTCATTGATAAAAAATCATAATGTAAAATAATACTAATTATTGTAAGAAATATAAAAAATTGTAAACCGTGAAAAATAAATCATGTGAGTGTCATGTTTTATCTTTATTGAGCGTGCTCATGATTTGCTCGATCGAATCGTATGAGAATACTGGTGAAAATGTGTTTCATATATATATGTTTTTAAACATACATTGCCAACCAAAGACATTCTAATGATGTTGATATCAATTTGACGAACGATCATTGACGACGATGTGCACATTCGAATGTAATTGATTTGATTAATCATCACATGATTAATTGAAATGATGAGACACGAATTAATTTCATTGTTTTTCATGTGCATGGATGTGAATACTTGTTCTTTGTTCATATACAGTCCTTCATGGACAATACATATTCTTCTCTTTCTTTTTTTTGGATCAGAAGAAATTTCTATTCATCATCATCATCATCATCATCATCGAAAAAACAAAAGCAATTAATTTGAATCATAAATCATAGAATTATTTTTTAGTACGACTTTTGAAAATTGATTAGAGTGCATTATTCAAATGAACATATTCATTTTCTTGGAAACACAAGATCAACAAGTCTGTTGAGTACGACTGCACTGTCATTTTATGAAAACTCGTTAAGACAAAGTCAAATAACTGTACAGAAAATTAAAAAGTTTTCATAAAATTCGATTTCTATCCCATCGAATGAATATTTCTGTTGAAATTAAATCACTAATAGGGTGTGGGTGTGGGTGTGAATGAAGAACATAGACACACCCACCAACTTGTGTTGCTTTTTTTTTTTTTGACGAATTTCCTTATATTTTTTGTTCCTAATACAAACCATTGAATGTCAATTATTATTAGTAAAAAATGAGTTTTACTTATTTAGAACTCGACAACAAGATTTCTATGACCAATATTCACATTATTGGCATGAAAATAATTCAAATTCATATGATATTTATGGTTCAACACTGGTGGAAATTCCTCAATTTCAACATCCATCTCATACACTTTTACAACAAAATGGTTTTACTCAACAAGTTTATCTTAAATATAAACAAGAATGTCTTGATGATAAAAAAAAACGTTGATTGTAGCGAAGAAAAAGATTATTAGTTCAGTACATATTTACAATATTTCGAGAGAAACAAGCTACTGGTAAAAAAAGATTGAAATTATGTTGCATTGAACGTATAAAAGACGAGTCCCTTAATGAATAAAGAACAGTCAACATATCTAAAAACAACAGCGAAAACTACTCTCCGGTAAAAATCAGAGTCTAGAAAGACTTATATTCTTATTTAAATTACTAATAGAGAATATGTCTGTTGCTATAATTTTCAAAGAAAAAACAAAGATTTTACTCTTTTATGGAGTTTTTTCAATACATACTATCATTCTTATCTACATGATAAATTTGAAAAGCAATAAAATAATTGTCAATGATTAAAAACACTAAGTTTCGCTAATCGCCAAACTTTATTATTTCATAGAAAATATTTATAATCTAAAGTTATGTTGATTTACAAATAAAATACATTTTGTTTTCTGTAATGATCTAATTTCTAGAACGCGTTAAACTTGTTCCTGGTCAATCAATGGAAATGAATACACGCTATCGTTTTTAGTCATTTTTCTTATGTGAAAATTTTAATCGTCATATGTACGAAAAATAATAAGAAAAAAATTGAATATTATTATTTATGTATAGATATGGTGTTGAATGTCTATTTCGATTTTATACATATGATCTAGAAAAACATTTTCGTCAACATGTATTTGAAGATTTTCAACAAGAAACTCTTTGTGATCATGAAGCTGGTAATAAAATGGACTACACAAAAAAAAAAAAGAAAAGTGTCAATAACAAAAATAATTTTCCTATTTAGGTCAATTATATGGTTTAGAAAAATTCTGGGCGTTTTTAAAATATTCTCGACAAAAACCAAAAATCAATCCAAAACTTGAAGAAATTTTAAAAAACTATAAATATCTTGAAGATTTTCATGTTGATGGTGCATCATTTCCATAACAATTTTTTCCAACAAAATCAAATTATAGTAATTGAAAAAATTCTGTTTTTCTATGATATAAATAATTTCTTTATAGACTGTTCCAGCATTCGAAGCAATTGCTGCTGCAGTAGCAAAGAACAGTGATACATCAAATTCATTAAAACCCAATGGTGAACAATATCTGAACGGTGCTAAACTTTATACACGTTTTGTTTTTCTTTTGTTTTGTCTAAAAAAAAAACGGTGCTCATATTTTTTCAAGTGGATTTCGATTTGTTTAAAAGTATGCATGTATTTTTTTTTGCTTTCAAAGTTTATTGTTATTTAATCATTTTCTATGTATATATTACATTGGTTTGTTATTGTAGTAGATAGATAGATTAAATAGTGATGCATTTTCTTTTTCTATCGATAGAGATATGAAGAATTTTCATATGGTTTCGTTTTGTTTCTGGAACTATTTGCTAACAAAAACAAAGCAACTAAGCAAATTTAATTTAATTATGATTATGCATGTTTTTCTTTTAGAAGAAAAAAAAAGACAATGGTTTCATCTCGTTTATTTAATAATATTGGTAAGATATTGAGATAATATTTTATTTCGATAGAAGAATTTGGTGTTTTAGGAAGAATTGGTATTTGTTTAGCTATTGTTGGTGGTGTGATTAATTGTATGCTTTATAATGGTAAATATGAAAAGATTAAAAAAAACTTGTTTTCTTTAAATTTGAATATATTCTAGTTGATGATGGTCATCGAGATGTTATTTTTGATCATTTTCAAGGTGTTAAACTAGATGTTATTGAAGAAGGAACTCATTTTATGATTTCATGGCTTCATAGACCAATTATATTTGATATTCGTACATGACCACGATCTGTTCCATTAATAACAGAAATAAAAGATATAAAAGCTAGAAGAGAACAGTCAACTTCAGAAGAGAGGTGAACATGGGGAAAATGTAAGCTCGCGAAAAAAGGAAGGTAAATACGATGTCTATTAAAACATCACTGAATGTATATGGCTGAGATATCTTAAAAAATTTTGCGGCCATCGATGGCGACTCAACTGATCGGTTTACACCTCTACACTTTCATCATTCATCAATCTTAAGATACTTTATAAAACTTAAAACGAGAAGTCTCGGTTATTTTTTCTTCGTATAAATGAAATATACATAAATTACATTTTATTATTTTTATTTTAGATTCACAAACAATTAATATAACATTACGTATTCTTTATCGACCAAGAGCTGAACTTTTACCAAAAATTTTTTGCAAATTTGGGTTTAGATTATGAAGAACGTGTTTTACCATCGATTATTAATGAAGTTTTAAAACCTGTTGTACTAAGTCTCAATTTGATGCTATTGAATTGATTACACAAC